AAAATAAAATAAAATAAAATAAAATAAAATAAAATAAAATGACTGGCGTTTGAAAAACCATATGATGGTTTTCCAGGTCATTACTTCTTGAGAATATTGCAGTGAAAATGGAAGAAAATAACAAGGAAAATGAGGTGGTGTACATTAAAAGCACTATGTAAACATTATTTAGGGGAAGAAAGAAAAGCTCTAACTGAAACACAACTTGGCGCCTTGTATTATGGTTTTATTCTGCCAATTAGACCTGAGACCTACTCCCCACTCCAGTGTGTGGGCTGTAGGGGTTTAAGCTGGAGAAAGCATCCGGTGTGTGTGTGTGTGTGTGTGTGTGCGCGCGCGCGTAAGTGTAAGAAGTGTGCCTATATTACCCTGTAGAACATATACCTTTCAAAGTGGCCCTGGCCCCAAAGACTCTTCTGGTGTAACAAGCCTCTGGTTCTTGTCTTCCAGTAACCTCGGCCTCCAGAAGAATCAAATCATAGAAAGTAATGAGAGTTCCATTTGGAAGCGCAGTAATTTAAATGTGATCACCACCCGTTCTGCAGAGAAAGAACCAATCCCAGCGCAGGGAGCCAAGAAAGCACCTTTAAATGAACTTCCGGACCAAACTAGGTAAAAGGCAACAAAGACCACATTCTGCCGCGCCCACGGCCACTCGGTTTTCACAACGCGTTTTATTATTCATAAAAAAATAAATTTATTTACATTTGCTAGTTGCTGTGGTAGTGCAGCCTGGAGACAGCGGCGCATTTCCCCTGAGCCGGGTCACTGGGTACGTACAGCCTCAGCGGACCACCCAGCGCACTCCTCCCGCGAGGCAGAGCCTGGACGGTGGGCCGGGGGAGGCGTCCAGAGCATGGAGGCGGCAGGCCCGCTGGGGATGGTCAGGGGCCGGAGGAGGGGTGCTGCAAGGAGGCGTGGGAGGAAGGACTGGACGGAGGCCTGAAGGGGACGCGAGCCTGGTGGGGTGCTGGGTGCGGGGGTGGGAGGCTCTAGTTTAGACGGGAGGCGGGTGGAGACAGAAGCCTGGCTGGGAAGCAGCGGGAGCCTGGGGGGAGTGAAGGGCTTGACTGCAGCCGGGAGGCAGAAGCGCCGGGAGCGCTCCGGGCCAACCCGGGTCAGGTGGTCTGGGAAAGGGCGCCTCCGTCTTTCCCTAGACGGAGTGGGCGTGCCCCTGCCTCCCGGAGGCTGGGGTCCCGTGGGGGGTACAAACTAGGCCCAGGTGTGCCACTCCCCTCTGTTTGCAACTTAAAAACATGCCCCGATGTTGGTCTCGCGTGAAGACTGCTGTCTGTAAAGCCACTCATCCAGAGCACGTTCTAACCACTGCCTCACCGTAACATGCCTGTGCTGGGCACGGCCCCGCCATCGTATACGTCTATCTGGCTCAGTCAGGAAACTAACTCGTAGGCGGTTTGGCACGACAGCGCGGGGGTCAGTCTACACTGCTAAAGCCCGAGGCTGGATCTGGTTGCGCGTTGTAGAGACAGAAGGAAGGTCTTTTGGAAAAGAAAACTGTCGTCGCCAGGATCCCCAGCAGCCGCAGCCCTTGGCGCCCTGCGATGACGGCCACACGGCCAGCCCTCAGGCTCTGTCCCCAACGCCCGCCTCACGTCCTGCTCACAGTTCGGGTGGGTGGGGGGTGTCGAGGAGGATTTAGCAGAGTCCGATGGCACTTTCCCCCATTCTCTGGGGGTTCTCATGCTCCCTTCTCTCCGTGTCCCCCAAACACACGCGCTTGAACAGTAACTCCAGCAAGTGACTTCGATCTAAGCGGTGGTCCCACATAATCTGTTGGCTGCGGAAACTTCTTTGGTGTCGGTGTCAGGTCGTCCTGAGACCACGAACGGCCATGTCTGTAAAGTCAAAAGAGAATCAGACATCGAAGGAAAAAAAAAAATACCGTCTCAAAGCGAAACCGCTCTCTTAAATGAACCCTGGAATACCCCTGGCTTTGAGTAGCTCAGATTTTATCCGTTTTCTGGGAATTTGGGTATCTTCTCTCCAAACTGGGATTTTAATTTTACTGGATTTTGATTGCGTGAGACGTTAAGACTTCCGTCCACGCTTCCTCCTGGACTTTGCCCTCAAGATGATTTGGTGAAACTTGCAAAAGTTTGGGATTTTGTGTTTAATTCCCTTCCCCCAGCACGCGCGCGCGCGCGCGCACACACACACACACACACACACACACACACACACCATCATCAGCCCTCCACTCTAAGTAGGAACTGGAATAGGTTCTTTCTCAAGCCTGGAAAGTTGGCAGGTTAGAAAGGGACTTTCCAGACAAATCCCTTTTGGGGAAACCTCTGCTATTCTGCAAGAACTTTTTAACATCCAAAGGCTGATTAAATAGAGCTCGGCCTTCCCTCCTTCCTTTCAGTAAGTAGGGCTCCTTACATGGAACCTGACTCTTAGATGGAAACGCTTAGGCGACAGAGACTTGCCATTGAATCTGCAACCGGGTAGTGGACGCAGATGGCATCGAGATTCACCCCGGAAGTAGGATTTAAGCCAACTGCTGTCACAGGGCAAAGTACCAGGTACAAAGATCAGAATGAAGAAGCACTGAAGGGTGCACGGTTCTTCCCCAGGAGAACGGCCTGGCCCCTCCCTTGACTGGGAGAAACTAAACTGGACTCCTCACCACCCATTCCAGCACCCCCCCTTTCGGGTTCTTGCCAGGGGGCTGACCCTGCCTGGCACGCGGGAGCTCCCTCCCTGAGCATTTCCCGGCCGCTCGCCCCGAGCCTCGCGTGCGGCGCCCCTACCAGGTTCACCGGGTGCACGTAGCCGTTCTCGTAGCGGTCCTCCTGCAGCAGCTGCCGCAGGTGAGCGATGTAACTGGAAGCCAGCCGGAGCGTGTCGAGCTTCGAAAGCTTAGTGTCTGGGGGCACCCAAGGCAGACTGGTCTTGAGCCTGGAGAAGGCTTTGCTCAGCACGCGCATCCGGGCGCGCTCGCGGGCGTTGGCGGCGTTGCGCTGCGACTGCTTGCAGTCGGCCGCCGAGCCCTTGGGCGGGAGGGGCTTCTTGCCGCCGCCGCCCCCAGCCACGCGCGGCCGTTTCCTCTTGCAGCCCTCCGCGCCGCCGGCCGCTCCCAGCGCGCACCGCTCTTCCTCGCCGTCGGGGTCTTCCTCCTCGGCCGAGGAGTTGTCACTGGGCGAGATGTAGCTGCGCTCGGCGCCGCGGAGGGGCGGCCTCTTGGAGGCGGGGACCGGGTACCCCCGCTGCAGCCCCCGCAGCTCCATCTCCTCGGGGTCGCTCACCGAGCCGGTGGACATCACCGCGTCCCCCACGCCCACGCGCGCCCGCCTTCCTGCCCCAGGCCAGCCTCGCGGTGTCGGCCTTCCGCTCCCTCTGGCGGAGGCGGGGGGCCAGGCAGCGTTCGGAGCGAGACCGGAGACCCGGGTAGGCAGCCCCGCCGGGGAGCGAGCAGTGCCGCGGACCCGGGAGAGCGCGGGCCGAGGAGTCCGCGCCCCCGCCCAGGCCCCGCGCGCACTAGCGCTAGCTGCGCCTTTTGACAGGACTATTTATTTGTACTCCTCGGGACAAACCACCCGGGCAAAGAAGAGGGGGTTGGAAAGGGGGGCAAGAGGTGGCGCGGGGGCGTGGAAGGGGTGGGGACCGTTTGTCTGCGCTCAGGATCTGCTGTTGGGGGCAGGGAAGGGGAAGTCTCCGCTGAGCCGCGATTTGGGGCCCCGGGTCCGTGGGACCCCCAGATTGTCAGTGAGAGGTATGTGTCGGGCAAGTGAAGGAGGGGACCTTGTTCGTACCCACCCCACTTCCACGCCCAACTAGTCTTAGCGATGGCGGAGATTGCCAGACGCTTCGAAGCCCTAGGATCGCGACCTCTGCTTCTCTCCCGGGCTTTTCAGCGGAACTATTTCCCAAGTTCATAACGCATCATGTAGGACTGCCTATCCTGGGCTTGCCCGACCACAGCTTAAGAGAAAGCAAGCAAACAACACTGACAACAGTTAACCTCTCCCTTTTCCGTCCTCCTTTTCCCCTAACGTGGCTTTATGATTTACAAAGCACTTTTAGTACATCGGTTCGGTTCGTTCCATTTTCAAACATCTGTGACTTAAATGTTATCTCCACTTTGCAGAACTTCAAGCTAAGCCACAGAGATAGAGATTTAAGTAAAGGACCCCCAATCACCGGGCTGGTAAGTAGAATACGGACTGGAGATCTGTGTCTAGCATCCCCAGCCCCTCGGTCTTTAGTCGCTAACACGCCTCCCTCACCACACATCACAAGCCGTTATATCCATTATTTTCCACTGTCTTGAGAATTTCATGCTTCGTTTTGTTTGTAATACCACAATGCGTAAGATAGAAGCTCTTGCCCCAACTCTTTGCGTTGTAGTCCAGGGAATCGATTCCTATTTTAGATTGTGTATTGAAGAGCACACTCCTGGATGCAGAATGCTAAGTCAATGCAATCTCCAAAAAAAAAAAAAAAAAAAAAAAAAAAAAAGACAAAACAGCATCCAGAATTATGCCAACCAAAAATAAGCCCTCTGCCCACTCCCCTCCCCCAAACCGTGGCCTCATTATTTTCTAACTCAAAGGACCTTTGCAGTAGGTGCTCTTGGAATGGGTACTTCACTTTGGAAGGAGGCACCTATGGCCAGCTACTGAGTGCCTGCTGTGCGCCAGTCACTGGGCTGGGCACCATACGACTGCCCACAGGAATTAAAAGAAAGCAACAAAACAACAAAATGGTTAAACCACTGCGAGGTTGGGGTATGGTAACTCCGTTTAGCAATGAGGAAATCGAGTCTTCAAACCAGAGTTAGGTGTTTACTTGTCCTTTCCCTGAAAGCTCACAGGCTCCCAAACGGAGCCAAGTGCGAGGAAAGAAATGTGCAGTCAGCCCAGGACAGAGTGGGCAGAAGCCATGGGGCCAGCCTCCCTCCACCAGCAACTCCGCAGAACAAATGCTCCCGGCTTCGTGCCTGAAGTGCCACAACAGGTGGCTGGCCTGGGCTGACTTCATCACTCAGGCATCGTCCACCTTCATATCCCAGGCCAGGCCTCCCTGGTGGGGGATGTTTCACACAAGCCCTCCTGGTCGCCCTCATTTGTAGACAAAAAATACATTTTGTCATTTTGTTAAGGGATGGGGCAGGGGCTCCTCTGGGGATCATTTGAATGAAAATATCGCTCATTTTCCGTTCTCTCTGGGCTGCGAAAAGGCAGAGAGTATCCACAGAATGTAGAGTTCTTCATAGGGGTGCTCGAACTTGAACTTGACTTTGGGTGCCACAGGCCAAGGAGGGAAGAAAAAGTGAGAAGGGGGAGCGAAGGATGTAAAAAGGAGATCGTAAGCTAGATTTCTGCATCACCTATTGGTGACTTGAATCTATCAGTATAAATACATAGTCTCACACATTAGAGGCAGGCATATAGGTTTTAAAAATCTGGATTGTTTATACAGGTGCAGAACAAAGTCTTTCTTTAGAAAAGATTAATGGTGGGCAAAGTGCTAGTTTTTCTCTAAACAGTCGCAAAAATCTGTACCCAGTCTCAAAGCTAAGCAGGTCATGGCCAGTTTCTCTTGCTTGTAGGAACTGACTGACCCCAAATGTTCCTGCTTATTTTTTTCATAGCTCTTTCCTGTTTCTCTTCTCTTCTTTGTGCCTCTTTATCTTTCCGTCTTTCCATTCTTTTTTCCTTCTTCTTTATCTCTCTTCCTTCTTCCCTCCTTTCCTGTGTTCTCTTTCAAGAAAGGCAGCTATTTTCATCTTCTTTCATTATTCCTTTCCCTCCTTTTCTTTCTAGTAATATTTTTCTTTTACTCTTTTTTTTTTTTCAAGTTGCAGACTCCCAATAAAGATCAGGAAGTGTATCTTCAAATGCATTTCATATTAGTGTATAACTGCAGTTTGCTTTAAACATGTTTATAATATGTGACGTCTGTCACCTCTTTACACTTTGAATATGCTTTTACTTTCCCTTCTCTCTCAATACAGCAGCCCCGTGAGCTGAACAGTGCAAGTATAATTATCTCTTTTGAAAGCTCAGCTGTTCTAATGTTTTGGCAAGTTGTACACTGCAAATGAATCGCAAAGACTTTATTTTTGTATTTTAAAAAAAGCATATTGAAAATAATTCCTATCTGCCCATGCTTTGCAACATGTTTTCTTTAATTTTTTTTAAAGTTTATTTATTTATTTTGAGAGACACAGAGAGAGTGCAAGTGGGGGAGGGGCAGGGAGAGAGGGAGAATCTGCTGCAGGCTCAGCACAGAGCATCACCTGGGGCTGGAACTCATGAACCATGAGATCATGATCTCAGCTGAAATCAAGTCCAGTGCTTTTCCAGCTGAGCCACCCAGGCACCCTGCTTTGCAACCTTTTAGATTTGTGGCCTGAATATACAGATGTTTATGGTATACATTAATCGTCTTGAAATTCTTTAAGACGTCCTTTTTAAGTAGGCAAGGGAGGCTGGGTGGGCTAAAAGTTACATTATAAAACAAACATTAATACATTTAATAATGTTTTCTAATCCTGGTTTTCCTGCTTATTGGCTGTATGACCTTTGGCAATTTCCTTCTTCTGAGGCCCAGTTTCCTGATCTATAAAATGAACTATCTGTCTCATAAGGGAGAGGAAGGGTATGAGCAAATGCCTGGGCCAGAGCCTGATACATGGAAGAAGTTCGATAAATGCGAGTTATTTTCATCACTATTAATTGCTTTGTCCAATGTCATATAGCTAGTAAGTATCAGGTCAGGAACTGACCCAGGTTTTGTACTCCAGGACTTGTTCTGGGTTTTCGATGGCCCCAGGATGCCGTTTGCTTTAACCGCAAGCTTCTAGGGTTTGAAGTACGTGATCCCATCTCCCATAGATCTTGTAGGAGACCTCACTGAGGGAAAATGGATGGGCCTACATTTCTTTCTCCAGGTTCTCTTCCCGTAAAGTCACAGCACTTCTCCAATCCTCACTCTCCTTATTTAAAAACTGGAATAACATTCCTAAATCAGAGTTATTGAAAGGCTTACATGAAATTGTGGTGTATGTGAAAGCATACTCAGATGTAACACGGAAAAGGCACTTAATATATTAAAATATTTTTAAATGCAATATTTAAATATTTTAAATGGTTTAAAACGTTAAAAATATCTAGGGGTGCTTTGGTGGCTCAGTTGGTTAAGCATCTACCTCTTGGTTTTGGTTCAGGTCCTGAGCTCATGGTCTTAAGATTGAGCCCTGTATAAGACTCCCTGCTGAGCTTGGAACCTGCTTGAGATTCTCTCTCTCCCTCTCCCCCTCCCTCTCTCTCTCGCTGCCCCTCTCCCACTCGTATGTACATGTGCATGAGTTCTCTCTCTCTCAAAATAAATATTTAAAAATGTATTAAAAATATCTAAAACTTAGGTTTTCTAAAAAGGTAGACCAAAGTAGGTTAATAATTAGAGACCACAGAAAATAGGCCATTTATGGCCACTGCCCCTTCTAACTCTGTTGGAAGACTAGATGCGAAAGTCTGAATTTGGGCTGGTCAGGTGGGTTTAGGGTTTTGGGAGAGGAGCGGTTGCATCTACATTCTGGGAACACCAGGCCAAAACATTAGTAAGTAAATGCTTAAGAAATGATTGCTGTGACAATGCATTTGAATGGAAAGAGCCCTCCCTACATGACCTTCCTGGTGGTATCTTCCTAAAGTCTCCTGATATTCTGAGCCATCTGGATGGCTGAAGAAACTGCCATATCTTTGATCTACAAAAACAGAGTCTCCAATTGGCCAATATGGAAGCCACTAGCCACAGAAGGCTATTGAGGACTTGAGCTGTGGCTAGTCATGTACAGTAGAGTAAAACACACACCAGATATTGAAGACAAAATGAATAAGATCATGTAAAATACCTCATGAATATGTTTCCAAAATTATGTCTAACAATGATAGCATTTTGGATATATCGGGTTGAAAAAAATGTGATTAAAATTATTTTCACTTGTTTCTTTTTGGTTTTATAACGCAGCTACTAAACATTTTGATTTATATGTGCGGCTCAGATTATTTTCTTTTGGATAATGTAGGGATTAACTATGCTACTATAGATGGAGTGTATAAGGTTCACTGTGAGACCAACTCCCACCTACTCAGGACACACTCTCCTGGGAAAAAGCATGATCATTCGGGAAGCACACATGACATCACGTATCTTGTCCCTCATCCCTGTCATCTCCCCTGCACCTCACCACGCGTCCTCAACCTCACATAATTCACCTGACCCTAGAACGTGCTGAGAAACACTCTGCCCTACT